CATTTTATTGACAAAAAATTGTTTTTTTTTTAGGAGTTCTAAAAACGCATTAAAGTAGGTATGCAGTCTGATCACTTTTTGTGATGTGTCTTTTATTTTGTATTAGTCTAACAAAATACTGGTTTTAAAGATATTGTTAGTTCAAGTTCCCCTGTACATTAAAATTTTTTGTTTATGACTGCTATAGGTATACTTTTTCATAGATATCTGCGATATTTATTTATACAGGGTAGCCCATCGAAAACGTACCGCAAGGCATTACAGGGTAGTAAAGAACTATTCGGCAAAATCCAAAAACAGGTCAAATTTGTTTCTGAGGGGGACAACTTTTGGCTCAAAAAGCATACCAAAATCTTCAANAAATACTTAGTGCGAATAGAACTTAGAACATAAATATCGACTACTTATAATTCCAAACCAGTATACATTTTTTGCAGCTTCCTAGAAAAAATAAGTAGGTAAGCTTGCTTTAAGATTTGATGGTAAGTACTAACTTGGATAAAAATTTTGCGAAACCTTACAACTGGATTATTTAATTAATCCAGTTAAAAGTTTTCTAATAATTAAATACAAATAGTAATATTTAACTCTCTAGAAATGAAATGAATTTTCATTCGTAGATTTCTGCGTCCATGCCACGAAATGACGAAATATCAATAAAAGTACATACAGTATACATTGCACCGATAGTGTTGGCTCATATAGAAACAATACAAAACTCGTTACGAGAAAGCAATAAATTGCTAAAAACATAAACAAAACATAAAACATCATGAAATGGTAGCATTTCATTCTTAAATTGTTGAAAAACAATGAATTACTGTTTTGTCAGTTTGGTGTTGACTCAGCAATACACGAAGAGTACAATTATATCAAAAACTCAAGTGTACTGTTTCCCTTAAATACATTCAGATTTGGGTGTCAGTGGATCCTTGGGAGTATTTACATCTAGTTAATAAAAAAATAAGACAATTTATAGGATCTATTTTTCAAAGAGAAAACAAATACAATGCTGGGAATTTTTTGCTACATATTTATTAAGTATTTAAGTAAAAAAATGTTGGTACAAGATACTGCCATGGTAGCCAGTTATATGTCGTATGCCGTCATCACCTTCAAAAAAGGACCACTTTGTGTGAGCTGTAGAAGTTGTAAATTTTATTTGAAATCAAAAATCAAAATTTTTTTCTTAAATATGTGTCCGTAGTTGGAGGTTAGGTATACTAACAAAATCAATAAAAACTTAATTAGTTCAAATATTATCACAAGTGAGTAAAATTGTTAAAATGCTTAATATTGAATTAATGTGTACTCAATAATTTCACCCAATGGATTCACTTCGTACCTTTATTGTTTTCACTCACACCGATTTTTTTACAGTGTACTCATTAACTCGTACAATTAAAATGAATTTCAGTTATTTTATTTTCAGTTATTTTATACCATAAATATTACAAACGAAAACTTCTCTCGGTGCATTCCAACACGCATCTTAAAGATTGTGTTTACGCCACACCGATCCGGTGTAACTTGAGCACTTCTATGGACTGTAAAATTTTCAAATAAATAGCTCCCAATGCGCCTTGTTACACAGTCTTTGCCACAATTAAAAACGATTTATTGCATAGTAGGTTATTGACGAGTTATTACTATTAGCTTGGCATGGGAAACCATTAATCTTATATGCAATTATTGATTATTCCACGTAAAAAGGTTTATTGCATTCGCGTTTCCTCCTATTTATTGGGTATAAATAGTCACTGTTTGTCGTACAAAAATCAAAACTGGTAGTAAAAGTGTTGTATAAATTATTTATAAATTATTGAAAATGATGATAATGAAAATTCTCGCACATTCCGTTTTAGTACAATTATACATATATTTTATAGTAGCTTTGTTATTACTCCCTGTACTTCATAATGCTAAAGAAACCAGAAGTTATCACATAAAATCGTAAAAATCGAAATATTGTAAATAGCTATTTACTAGCTACCTAGCAGCTGCTAAGACACCAAGTAAGTACAATTTTTCAGAATAATGGTGTGATGTTCCTCAACACGATTTATAAAAAGCAAATATAGTTCAATAATGATATGAAACGATATGAAAAAGAATGTACTGTTTTTCAAAAGTGGATAAAGATAAACCAAATAATGCCATATTGATTTTTTCTGAAGTTACGATTACAGAATCACAATCGTAATATTGATAAAAATTGTGGAAATGTACCTATAAGTTACGAGTTAACTGAATCTGCTATCATTAGAAACATAACATGCTAGATAAGATATTCTCAGGAATATATTATGTATTATCTTACACATAATACATATGTATAACAATAATTGTTGTTCAGCCTTTGAGAAGCTAGCTCTGATTTTATGATCTTTTTTGAAAACAAAGTCGTTACCACAAAACGCGTAACATAATTACACATTTGCAATGGTTTTTATATATTTTATAGCTGGCGTTTTATAGACAATCGCACTTTTAGTAACACAATGATAGAACATGAAAATCCATCTTCTTTAATGTTTCGCCTCGCAGTAAAAGATCACGGAGAACATGTAAACATCAGAAAATGTACCTTTCCTGCTTTCTCCAATAATAATAATTTTGATTAATGCGTGTGTTAACAGTTTCCTAAAAGCATTTTACGGTGTGTGATTATACGTGATTTTCTGTATGCAACAGGCATGCAAAATTCAGGGAACGTAAAAAAAACATACGAGGTAAAAATATGCCTTTTTCCTTATTTCAAATGTATTGTCAGTTGTCTTATACCCTGAAGAAAACTCATATAAGTTGAATAGTCAATAAATTTTGTTTGTAACTAGCTTAGAACTTCTAAAGTGCTGGACAAAAAATTGAGCATATAACGCCCCCTTCAAATGTATTACTTTTACTAATTTTGTGTGTTTATTATATTGTCTCATTACATGCATTCCCATCCATTTAACTACCACATTGATTCAGACATCTTGACACTGACTGACATTTTAAAGGATTTACGAGTTCTGGAACTATGTCTTAGGAAGTCAGACTTCTGCAACACATTCAGAATCTAGTCTGACGACACTAAGATTTGTGATAAGCGACTTTTCATAACTTTCATAAGAAAGAGTTACTTACAGTGTGGAACAGCCAAATGGAATAAATTCAGTATCTCAATTATTGGGCACATTTATAAAAAATCTCGGGACACGTCGATTGTGGATTCTGAAATAACATCTTGCAACGTAAAAATTTCATCCCCACATTCAACCTTCTTCGAGTGGCAGTTGCAACCCTTACATTTTTAAATGAGACGTAGGAAATTGTGATATCTCATTTGAAGGGTATTTTCATTGCCTATTCAAAACCTATGGTTTTAATATTTGTTAAATTAATTTTTATAAATTGTATTTATTTATTTATTTAGTTATTAATACTCAACAGGCAGAGCCCTATTACAGAGTATATAAATACAATAAAAAAACAAACACAATATAAATAATATCTAAAACAATCGATTTAACAATGTTTTTAAACAATTTACATTAATATTAAANCTAATTATTCAAGTTCAAGTGAAGATTTTTGAAAACAAAGTCGTTACCACAAAATGCGTAACATAATTACACATTTGCAATGGTTTTTATATATTTTATGGCTGGCGTTTTATAGACAACCGCACTTTTAGTAACACAGTGATAGAACAAGAAAATCCATCTCCTTTAATTTTTCGCCTAGCAGTAAAAGATCACGGAGAACATGTAAACATCAGAAAATGTACCTTTCCTGCTTTCTCTAATAATATTAAATTTGATTAATGGAGGTGTTAACAGTTTCCTAAAGGAATTTTACGGGGTGTGATTATACGTGATTTTCTGTATGCAACAGGCATGCAAAATTCAGGGAACGTAAAAAAAATATACGAGGTAAAAATATGCCTTTTTCCTTGTTTTAAATGTATTGTCAGTTGTCTTATACCCCTGAAGAAAACTCATATAAGTTGTACAGTCAATCTTAGTCAGTCAGTCACCTTAAAATGTTTTACATTTACTAATTTTTTGTGTTTATTATATTGTCTCATTACATGCATTCCCATCCATTTAACTACCAGATTGATTCAGACATCTTCACACTGACTGACATTTTAAAGGATTTAGGATTCTGGAACTCTGTCTTAGGAAGTCTGTTAGACTTTTGCAACACATTCAGAATCTAGTCTCTTCAAGTCTGACGACACTAAGATTTGTGATAACTTTCATAATTATTGGGCACATTTATAAAAAATCTCGGGACACGTCGNATATTATTATTTGTATTATCATACGTATTTAACAATAAGCAGACAAGAAATCTGTTGAACAGTTGTTCAAAATGATTTTCGCAAATGCACAAATAAGTTTTTTTTCTAGAAAAAACATGATTGTTCTTTTCATTGACTCAATTCATTGGTTAGGTTGTTAATCTAGTTTTTATCACTATTTTAATAGGCAAAAATTATTAAACATAGAAATCACCTCTAATTTTTGTACTTTAAAACATTTTGCCAAGAATCTCAACCATACAAAGCTTATGTCGTCTAAATATTCGAGGTTCACAACAAATACCTTTATAACTTAAAAAATAATGAATAAGACTAATTAGGGATTCTAAAGCCATATGCCTATCAATTTTCAATACAATACGTTGATTACTTTTAGAGATTTGACAAAGTTTTGCATCTTGAAAACAAAAAACCATAGATGTATAGTTGATAGGAAAATGATTTTTTCAATGCTTTATTATCTCTTGAATGTATGTCATTTGTTTGTGAAACACATTGTATACATTTTCGTGAGCTCTAGAGTTAAGTTACTGAAATCGATTTGTATCCAATACTTATTAATATCTTATTTGTTGATTCGCAAATGTTTTTTGCTTGTAAAATGACAAAAACAAAAATAAATTCTAATTTGTTCTACCAATAACAAGAAAAATATTTAATTATTATATTTGCCAGATTAACTTACTTATATCCGTACTCCAAATTGTCCCCACATCCTCCCCACACCCATTCCTTTTTGAGGTCCTTCGGTCGACCCATCCTCGAACATCCGCAGGAGGAGAGCTGTCCGTCTCGACACGACCTTGACACTGCATGGGCGACTCCGGCAGCAGCCAAAGCGTGGGCGAACGCGGACTCCCTGCTGGCTGAAACAGAACATAATCATAGATTAGGTAAAGTGCATTCGCTTTAACACTGACATAAACGTGTTTCTTATATTTTTTTGTTTATAAAAATCTAAAGTAGTTTAACAGTTATTTATGATAAGTATAAGTGCAAAAACTTTGTACGGCTTGACTAAAAACAAGAACATAGCGAATGTTTTAAAAGCCGCGGAAATGCTATAAAGAGACTTGACTATATTGATTTTTGCAAAACTTTGACAGCTTGTATTATACGAGGCTATGGTTGAACCAATTCATTATTATTAAAAATTTTAAGCAATCATTTGTAGTTATAATCGTATTACGATCGTAATAGGTGTTGTAAAGAAATGATGTTGTAAATGAACTGCTGTAGTTGAAAGAGCCATTGTTGTTCTTAAAAATATTAAATGTATATAATAAAATATAGTAAAACATATTTACATATAGTCTTTTCGGGTTTTGTAGTTTACTTACTATCCCAAGACTGTCAGGAGTTTGAACAGTTGAAATTGATGTCTTCGAGTTTACTTGGAACCATTTATAAACCACATGTTCCCTGTTTGATTTAAGTTTAGAACCATTTACGAATGGCTTCCGAACTGTCATTTTTTTGCCTACACATTAAGTAAAACACGACACTATGACAGTCATAATTTACCTTGACTTAATTTCGAAATTTAGAAATAAAAAATTATATTACAAATAAGTCGAAGAAATTTTTGATGTTTTTAGCATGGGCAAGTTGTTTTGTAACATTCGGAAGCTTACAGATGTATGAGCAGATTGTTTTAAGTTGAAGAAGCATAATGGAATATCTTAGATCAATCAATTAAAAACAAATGTGATATCTAACCGAGTTTTGAGCAGAGAGCTAAGAAGAGCCAGTTAAGAAAGCAATCTCGAACAATACCATTGTCGCTAATGATATACTCTCTATTACATCCAGGAGTTGCTTGGAATTCTTATTGAAAATCGCATTAACTGTAAAGTAGATGTACACATTGTTAAACATGAATTATGCATAATTGCTATTGCTCTTAATGACAGATCTTTCTACTCTGAAATCGTGGAATAAAAGCGTAAAATAAAAACTTTTATTGCATACGCTCTTATAAAAGACATTTTTTTCTACTGGAAATTCTGTAAAGAAACTATAATTTTTGACACGATCGGAATTTGTGTTTTTTTCGTAGGTTGCCTCGTGTTTCTGTCAAATGACTTTTAACTATTGAAAAGACGGGAGCCGAAACAATTTTGGTATATAACTTCGAAATGTAATATTTTATATAATTCTTTTGAGATCCCAAGAAAATTTCCTAAATCATTAATTAGTATTTCCCATTTTTATCTACAGTATGTACGAGGATTGAGTTTACAAGAGACAAATGGACCAAAAAAATGTTATTTTGCATAAGAGTAAACACACTTCATTCACCAAAAAAGAAATTCTTGATTCTATCAAGTTTTTGCATGAAAAATAAACAAGTTACGTCATCAAAAATTTAATTAAGTATTCTCTAGCACACCTCTAATCAGAGTATTTATTAATTCTTAAAATATTAATGACACTTAAGGACATACTTGTCATTGTTTTTATTTAATGAAGTAATTATTTAATGAAAAATAGTTCTCATCATATTACTATCTACTGATTAAAAGGTTTTTATAATAACATGTTATGGGAATAGTCATATCGCTACGTGATGGAACAATTTAGCCAACAATTTGTAGGAATCCCAATAAGTCGGATGACAATTTCCATGATAATAAAAAATTTTCAAAGAACTGGTTCAGTTTTAAACCTCAAAAAGAAAAAGAAGAATTAGTTTTAGTTCTGCAGTCTGTTAGAGAAACTCCAGTGATGTTCCTTAGAAATCCTGCTAAACAGTTAAAAGTTCTGAAAATGTCATATTCATATATATTTTAAAAGAAACTAAAATATTTCCGTTCAAACCACACTTTAATCAAACATTGGAAGAGGAAGATGAAGCGAAAAGATTAGATTTTAGGTAGGAGACAAAGTTTTAAATGGAAATATTGTTTTATATAAGTTTATTATGTTTTCTGATGACTGTAAATTTTCCACTAATGGAACTGTAGCATCCCAGCATGTCAGGTACTAGTCTCCAGAAAATTCTGAATTTAGAATATCTAATAATACAATGACAATATTTTACAAAAGTGCGCCCATATTTTTACAATAACACCTGCAGTAGAATATCGTATTTAGAAATGCTTCTTACATTTTTTAGCGATGAACTCAAAAATTTATCATTAAATTTTCGCCAAAAAATGTATTATCAACAGGATGGCGAAGAAATTAGAAATTCTTTAAGATATCTAAGGAAGCAATTACATAAAAAAGTGTATTCAATATGGGGGTGGTGTTTTTGAAATTTGATATCTTCATTATATTGCTTTATTTACTTTTTTTTAGCTTAATTGTTGTTGAAATTATGTTTGTATTATTTAAAAGTTACACTTGAATGAGACGTATTTGTACTTTGTTATCTGTATAAATAATTAAATATTTGATAACGTGACTCTTATTCAATTTTCAAGCATCTTTCACTTTTTGGTATTATTGGTATTCAAGTCTAATATTAGTTTTTTTGCAGTGAAACACCTTGAATATTTTTAATATTTTTGCAAATTTGATCTTACGATGACAATGATGTGATAGATTTATCTTTATGGTCAAGAATGTTTTTGAACCTAAATATTATGTTATTTTTGTCATTATTCTTGTGTCATACTCTTTTGGCCATATCTTCTTTTCTATTACAAATAAAACCATACAATTGTAAAAATGATATACACATCACACAAAAAGAATTTTTGCAAAGTAGTAAAACATATAGACATCAAAGTACTCAAAATTAGTGGTTATAATTTTTTTAGGCATTCATTGAGCTGTTATATCGTTCATAGCCAGTGTCAAATGAAGCATATTAAATTTATGCATATAACGTACGGAATTATTTTTGACAATTGCAAGGCTAATAAAACTGCTATTACTCGCCATCCATCATCGCCCTTCTATTCCTAACTCGTATCAAATAGTTTCTTTAATTGTTTCTGAATCAGTGAGTCGCAAAATATAGTAATTTTAACCGTAGTGCAACTGCAGATGCAGTTTAAGTATTATCGATTAAAACATAGGAGTAGTAGTATGAAGGTAGATAACTTTTTTTGACAAGGGGCGATAAAATTTTTGTTTTAAAATATGTTGCAGCATCAAAGTAAAATCACATTCAATTCAGTGTAATTCAAAAAACAGCTTAAAGGTTTTTTTGCATTTTCTAGTAATAAATTACACTAAAAACATAAAGATGCATTGCGACTCCTACTTCAAAACATTTTAGAGTTTGGCATATGAAAAAATATTGTTCATGGTACCGCATTGAGTAGGGGTTGATTTTTATACATAATTGACTTATTTTGAACAAAGGAATTTCTGACATTACATTGTACACATATTTTCTGGACGTACCGTTATATTATATACACAACATAAAGTAATACATTAGTAATATATAATGACACAATTATATATTCTAGAAGAGAGTACAGAGTAGAACAGAGCCTTCATAAATGATTACAAGCCACGTGACTAGTAATTTTGTTTGGAACAGTAACTGTATTTTCTTCACATTGGCAATTACATAAACAGTAAAATTAAAAATTATTAAAGCAATAAGATCTAGATTACATTAAATCACAACATTCTGTTTTACCGGCCAGTGATTGGTGTAATTTTTCACGAGATTTTATTCAACCAATCTCAAGTGTATACGCAATGATTTGTCATTGTTCATTGTAAATGGATCATTAATACTGGTGACACCAAGATTTAGAAATTTTTAGTTGACAGTACCAGTCGTGTAATGTTGGTTGCATAAGTTCGGAGGTCAAGTGTCTTGTAACCATTTATGAAGGCTGTGTACACTGAGTGCAGGCCCTAAATCCATGTAATCGTCAAGTACGCTTGGATTTTTGCCTCTGGCCAATAATGTTGAGGTCCCCAATATTGTTGCAAATATTTTTTTAATGATGAGACCGGCATCACATTAAATGGAGTTATTAATTTCCACAATACCCATGTGTAGGGCGACGAAAGTTCCTATACTGCTATGACAGACACCAGGTACGTTTTTCATTGAACATTTGACAGTACCAGCCGCGCAATGTTGGTAGCCTAAGCTAGGCGGTCACGTGACTTGCACTCATTTATTAAGACTTTGTACAAAATCTATACCATAGCGCTTGCACTCAAATCCATACCATTCTTCATGTTAAAGAAAATTGAGTTTTTAATTAAAAGACATATGAACAAATTAGTATTTTGGTTTGCAGTCTTTCATGGTAGTTGCTAATGATAAAACAATTTGGCTCCCACGTCGTCAGTTTCAGAGTTTTTTTCTCAAAAAGCGAATGATGTCTCTGAAACATCAAAAACTCTATAACGACGATGTGGGAATAGGCTCGGGAATTGTTCAGCCAATTTTACAAAATTCAGTATTTTTTAAACAGCAAATAATTATTAAAAAAAATAATAAAAAGCTCTTGGAAATTGGACATAAACATTTCTGTCCAATATTATTATTATTATTAGATACAAATATTTCGTTTGCGTGGCAACAGTACCTGCTTATTATTATGGGCGAAGTACTAGGCACATTTATTATGGTTACAGTAACTATGGTAGTTAATTAAAGCAAATAATTTTAATGTGGTGAGTATTAACCTTGATCTCTTTAAGATTTATTAGTGAACGGTTTTTTCATTTGTTAAATTTTTAGATTACAATCTTTGTAAAAGTTCTATGGAAAAAAAATAAATACCGATTTTATACAGAGGTATAAAGAATACTGCCTGCATTCACTTATATGATAGTTTATGTTATGGCATTAGTAAAAGTATTTTTTACGCAGTGGTAAAAGTACGAATATTTTAAATTATGCTCCAATTTATTATATAATAAATACATTATATTATAC